AGATGCCTTTTAAACATTCCTAATAGAAGCACCTCATAATCTTTGGGTATAGTTCTGTATAAGTTTCTTATTCATGTTAGACTACAATCTCTTGGCATTTGTCCCTCCAATCAATCCTGTTGAGTGCTTTGCCAGCCCAGCATGTGCTTGCAGCTCCACACACACTCAGTGTAGTCTGGCATTTTTTGTGTGCCTCTAAGTGCACTTTTTGTGTGCAGCTCAGTGTGACAAACACTCCTCATCTTGTGATTTGTAACATGACTGTGGGTCCTGCTAACCATCAGTGTGCCTGAGTGACTGACTGTGAGGCAGCATTCTGTGCAGATTGTTGGGGCAGCTCCTTACACAGGGCAATTCACACTCATTTTAGTTCAACCTGTTTGTACAGAACTGTGGGTTGGACCTTTAAAAGGACAAAAAAGTGTTCTTGCAAACCATGCACAAGTTACCAGCTGATGATCATGAGATCAAACTAACCCAAGATAAAAAGAAAATGTAGTTAAACCAGTCATTCATGTCTTGAAACAAAGCTGTAATTCAGTTTTTGCCCATTCTTCTGGGAGTAATGTAACATTTTAGCCATGATGAAATAAGAGCAGTTCAGCTGAGAAGTGCATGGCTGGAAACATCTTCCTTCATCTTTATTCCCTGTTGATTTGGGAAAGAAAAAAAGAGAACTAAGGGGACCATGCAGGTGTATGTCCTCCAGTGTGCGTGTATGTGTGTATTCCTTACGTGTCCGATGGAGGGGAGGGCATTAAAGGACTTTATCTGTAACTGCAAGTGTTGTATCAGCCACTGAATCTCTGTTTCCTAACTGGTAAAAGCAGTTATAGTTCAAGTCTGGACTACAGGACTTGTCAGACTATAGCAGAGATGACAATTTAATCTCTTAATCCTTCTTGCTCTTTAGACTTTCTCAGAAGGAACCCAAGACGAAGTCCATCCTCATAGTGGTGACTTTCTCCTGTTGTGGTGGACTAAATGCTTCTGCTTAGAGCTGCCTCCAGGTAGGCTCCTCTGTCATCCTCCACATACCCTTGAGAATGCTCCATTCTTCCCCTCGTGCCACCTCATTTGTTTTTATAAATGCACTTCCCCACTCCCAGAAGCAGTGGCAGTTAAAGTGGAACTGGTGAGAGGTTCAGTTGGGAGCCCAGGTCTGGCTCATTCGTGGAGGATCCGTGACTGTACAATAGCAGTTGGAGCAGAAAGCAGCCACTAACTCTTCTCCCCCCCTTTTTTTATTCTCTTGGTACAGTGCACTTGGTGTATGTGCTTGATAATTTGATTGCTTGTTGGACTTTTCTTTGCCCTACCTTCTTGTGCAAAATAATCCTCTGACACACGCACACAGTGAATGTTTATTGTGGCTGCTTTTACTGACACTTCAATAACTCTTTCAGCAAGAAACACTGCAGAGACCTTTGGGTTTGTCCTTGGTCACAAGACAGGATAGCTGAGCTTTGGAGAAGACATTTCTTGGCATCTGTTGAAAAGAGGGTGTTGAAGGATTTATAAATTTGTACTCAAGTGTTGAGTATTGGTATGTGAACTTGTTAGAAATGAGGGTGAAACCCTGTCAGAAACACCTGTATAAAAGCAGGTGGTTCTTTATGTGTCACGTTAAGCTAGTTAGGATCACTGGAAAATTTAGCCCAAGTTTAGGTACCTTTCAACTTTGTTTTGCTGAAAGATCATTTTACAGGCAGATCTACTTGGCAAACCAAGCTGAACTTTTTTTAGATCATTCTCAGTTAAAATAGTCTTTTACATTACCTCACTTAGGGAAAAGTTTAATTCTTGAAGTTCCTCCAGCGTTTGCTCTGTCAGGAATTCCACCCACAGCATTAGAAAGTACATTGGAAATGACAGTGCTTGGTAAAGGCTGTCACTGTGCTGTTCTCTTTTCAAGAGTCTCACTTGTACAGATGTAGGGAAATTACTTGTTTAGGCTTTCAGCTTGATTAGCAGTTGTTGTAGAACATCCAGAACACATTGAATCTTTAACATTTTGATCTGTATATAATTTGTGGGGTTTACTGCTTATATGAATGATTGTTGTTTTCCAAGATAAGTGAGGCAACATTAGCATATCTTAGAAAACTCAGATATACATTATGGGATGGAAATGGCCCTGGAGTTAGTCCTGCACCTGTCATTCCACCCTGACCCATTACTAGATGTTTCCAAAGGAAATGGAAAATGCTTGCAAAGAATGCCTTTTGGGGGGAAAACATTTCTCCAAATGACATATTAGATAATTTGCATCCTTCAGCATAAGGTTACATTCATACATTTTCTCTCTCTTCTTTAACTTTAGCCGTTAATATTACTTATCTAAATGCTTATCCTTTAGGCAATCTTACTAAACATCTTAATTCTCTAACATCTTGTTGAGTGAACTCTGTATCTTAGCTTTGTATATTTAGAAATCCTCCAACCGTTTTCAGTTTTGTTTCTTGTAATTTCATTTACTGTTTGGCTTCAGAAATCAGCAGTCCAGGTTTAAATAATCCTTTAAACTATTACAACAATTGCCTATTAGAGTTTTCATCTTGTCCTCATTCTTACTTGTCTGGAGAAGTTGTCTTAGTTCAGTCACTGGGTCGTAATGAAACACGTTCTGCATCAGGGTGTCTCAGAGCTGCATTTAGATCCAAAAAGGATCTGGGAGAAGCACTTTGGGTTCTAATAATTGTTTGTTCTTGGGCTGCAGAAATCTTTTCTGTACAATAATGTGAATGGTTAGTTGCAGTTTCAGTTGACTGAGAATTGGTAACCCATGGTGTACAGAACACATTTCCTAGGGCATGGGCTTTTGCTAAACTGAAGTCCCGATTTCAGCAGGAAGTAGAATTTGTATGTGGATTAGTTCTTTTATACTTTTCCTGTGTTGATTTTTATAATATCTGGGAGAATCTCTGGGCATTTTTCCATCCCCATGTTGAAGCTCCATTTTGAGGGAACCTGTGCTAGTATGTATAAACTGAAGAGCTCAGGAAGGGAGGTGCCTTTGAGAACCAGGGTGACTAACACGGTGTTGACTTTGAACCTTTTGGCAAGGTTCCCATTGAAGTGATTGTATGGTTTGCATTGTCCTTCAGCAGCAGGAAATCCTATCTGCCTTTGCTGAGGCTCAACTAAATTACACAAAAGGATGTTTTAGTGCTTTTTAGTGTAAATGATGTTATACAGCTAAGCAGAGCTGGATTCTAACCTTAACCTGGATAATGTGCTGAGCACAGCATTTTGTCAGTGCTGGCAAAGAGCAGGAAACTTGAGCTGGCCAAGCTTTGTTTTATGTCAGTGAATTTCTCAGCATTTTATAGGTTAAAGATTGACATTATATACAGGGTTTTGTCTTGTGAAAATCAAACACTCATTTAACAAAACCCCCCAACTATATAAAGTCATTTAGGCTTTTTTGACCTACAGAAACATTAATCAGACCATAATGCACTGCTCTTGATGATCTTGTTCCTGCAGTAATTAATCAAAATTTGACCACTGTTAAATCAATATAACTTTATATGGTACAAATAAAGGCCAGTTCTGAATGCTGACCACCTTTGGCTGAGCTCCTTAGCTCATAAATGTTATGGTGAAGACCACTGGTTTAAAGGGGAGGTCAAGGGGGAGGTGTTTCAAAATACTAAAATATTAAAAACTGAAGCAAATGTTTGTAATAGGCAGCCCTGCAGAAGGCTGAACTACTATATATGCTTTGTATGTCTGAGGATCCTGAAATTGAAAAAGAGGAGAGAGATTAGAAGGTGATTTAGAGAAAGGTTCATACAAACATTTAGGTTACTGCTGCCTGCTAAGGTGTAAAATGTTAATTTTGAGGTTTGTTTGAATACAAGTAGGTATTAGGTATAGAAAGGTACTTACAAAAGTATGTACCTTTCTGTTTCTATAAATAGTTATCTCATGCTGCCTAAGGGAGATATGATTCTTTTTCTACCATGACTGTTGGTTTGCTTCTGTGAAAGCAATCCTGGAAGCAGTTTAGGTCAGGAGGTAGGAAGGTTCCCCCCACGTCCTCTGAACACAGCCTGAGGGGTTTCTGCCTGACTCCACACTGGTGCTGACCTTCAGATGTGTGCAGTGCTCACACCAAGGTGGGGCTTACAATACCCTCAGTTTTCAGGATGAAATGCCTTCATTTTTCAAATGTGTTGTCTGATGTTCTGAGTCTCTCTCCCTTTTTCTCTCCATCCAGGAGGCTGAACAGAATTGACCAGGACAGTATCTTGCAAATTATTACCCATTTTTGTTATAGATCCAAGGTCACTGGTAATCAGTGGCTCTTACCACTTGCTGTGAAACTTTGATGCTCCTGATTTCTTGAGTTTAGAGCTGTGTCATGGAAAGTCACCACAGCTGGCTGGCAGTATTGTCCAGCAGCATTAACAAATGCTGATCAGAGAACTTGCTCTGTCATTTGCCATGTTGGGAGAGTAGAGCCCAGAGTCCCTGCTGGGGAAGCTAAAGGAGAGGAAGATGTTGCTTAGGAAATTGCAAAAGCAGGAAAATAAATCTAGATTCCAGGAATACTGTCTCTAAACAGTAGGTGTGATGTTGGTTACGTGGTTATGTTTATCCACTGCAATATGGCACTTCCCTTTTTGGTCATGTAATGACATTTTTGTCCTTTATTCTCTGTAGTCCAGAGAATGTTCAGATGAGTTCTGTAGGTCATTTAGATCATAAAATATATTGTTGAGAAAATTCTCAGACTGTTTTGTTTTAATTTGTGAGCATTATTTTTGTGAGCAGAAAATGTGAGTTCAGGTGCTTGGCTAAAGAAGTCTGTGCTTATTTAGAATTCATAAATAAATAAGAAAGCTGTGTGCTTCTTTGTGCTGCATTATGGGTTGTCCTTACTGTATTGCTGTTTTTCCATACAAACTCATTACACAGCTCTGATGTCGTTGTTTTACATAAGCTTTTTCACAGGTATTTTCATGTTTCCTTTTTCTTTTCCCTTTCATCAGACATTTGCTGACCAGGCATTTGGTAGCTTCAGCTGGACAATCCCCATTGCTGTAGCCTTTTCTTGTTTTGGTGGACTTAATGCTTCAATTCTAGCATCATCAAGGTAGTGCATCTCTTTCAGTTTGACAAATGATCATCAATATTTTTACATGTTACTGTTATGCTCATCTATTCTGACAGTGGCAAAAATACTGTTGTTACTGAACCTGTAATAAATAGCCACAATAAAATAAACCTCTGTGGATGTTAACACTACTTCCCCAAAGCATTCCTGAGAGCACACAGAGCACAATTAAAGATCATATTAGTGGTGAGTCCTCAGGCCTTCTGATTACTTGGATTACCTTCCATTTTCCTTGGTCCAATAATTCTAGCAAGTTCTTACTTTCAAATGTATTTGCTTAAAACTTACTGACCTTTTAAAATCAGTATTTTAAAACTTTTTATTGGGAAAAAACCTTAAAAAGTTGCTACTGCTATGAAGCTGCAGTCAGAAAGCTTAGGATACAGTACAGAAGCTTTTCTTTGAGCACTGATTGTGGATGTGACTAGCCAAAATTTTAAATAGATTTATTGAGGCAAATGGGAACATCATCTGGTGAGGGAGTCAATACAGAAGAGTTGATATTAAAATTATGTGTGGTTTTTTCAGCATGTGTTTGAGTGACACCATTTTAGTGACCTAAAGCTCTTCTGGTGGCCAGTGAAAACTATTCCTCTATTTTGTGAAACAACAGAAATTTGTTTCTGTTACTGTAGATGTTGTCTATTTTACACGTAGCATGATTTTTTAAAAACAGATGTTAACAGCATGTTTCCAAAGCTTATACATCTTTTAATGGTTGTTGTACAGTACATCTCTAAAAGAAGAGTTGAAGTTTAAGGATCCCAGTTTAAAGGATGGAAATTGAGTGGTGTAAATATTATACTGGTGTTATTTTTTTATTTTCTTTAATACATTCCCTCTCCCCTGTGGCCTCACCATGTGTTTTCTCACTATTTTTTTCAGGCTGTTTTTTGTAGGATCTCGAGAAGGTCACCTTCCTGATCTGCTGTCTATGATCCACATAGGGAGGTTCACACCTGTGCCAGCACTGCTCTTCAATGTAAGTTGGTATTGCTTTCCTTTTCAGCTTCTCAGATGTGAATTATTTAAAAGAAGACTTTGAAAAATTCACAAGAGAGAACTTCAACTTTGCTGTCATCAAGGTGATTGGTGAAAGAGTGATTTTGTGAGGCATAAAAGCATGCCAAACCCCAAGGAGTGTAAGGTGTTACTTTAAGCAAAAAGCAGCATAAACAGTAAGTTTCAGTGTTTTGTTGTTGTTCTCACACTTGTTCTTTCCCGACAGTGTATTATGACCCTTTTTTACCTGGCTGTGGAAGATGTCTTCAAGCTTATTAATTACTTCAGTTTCAGTTACTGGTTTTTTGTTGGTCTGTCTATTGCTGGACAATTATATCTGCGCTGGAAAGAACCAGATCGACCCAGGCCTCTTAAGGTAACCCTTATGACACAATTGTTTCAAATCCCTGTCTTCCATGTAATAAGATATATAAAAACACAGAAGTGCTGTCTAAAATCTGGACCATACATCTTGTGTCTGAAGGTTACAAATTGATCAGGACATAAAACATGGTTTCCATTTTATATTGTACCATGAAAGTTAGCTGCTAGGGAAGAGTCAGGGATTGTTGGAATAGTATATTATTGTGTGCTAGTTCAATCAGTATCCCTTCTCTCTGTCAACAAGAGAATGTCTCTATAGGCTTACATAGGAGTCAGCTTTTTATCTTGCATTAGAAATCTCTGTCAACGTGGCCCACATTTAGCTCTGATGATATCCAATCCTCTAATGACCTTCCCACACTTTGAGTTAATACTCCTCACAAAGAAGTCATTCTGGTTTCCCAAGTTCTACTGGACTTTTCTAGAAACACTTCCTGCCACTATACAGTTGCTTTCAGCACAGCAGAGTTACCATAGTTGTTAATTTCTGCAATTTTTAGCAGCAGTTCTGTTAAAAATAATTCTGCAATTTGCTTATGGTTCTAAATAGCCAGATATATAAGAGGAAGAGCAGATAATTTCACAAAGTGGGGTTGAGAGGGAAAAGTCTGTATCTCAGTGTTTGTAGGCAATGAATATTACAATAACATTCTGTTCTGTTTTTCTGTCTCCAGCTGAGCCTGGCTTTCCCAATACTATTCTGTATATGCACAATATTTCTGGTAGTAATACCACTCTATAGCGACTTTATAAATTCAGTGATTGGAATTGGCATTGCTTTATCTGGAATTCCATTCTTTCTCTTGGGAGTCTATTTACCTGCATCGAGGAGACCTCAATTTATTAACAAGATTTTAGGTAAGTTTCTTTGTAGCTGGAGATGTTGTTAGGAAAGAGGAAAACTAAAAGGGTGAATCTGGGTCTGTTGATGGAAGGGGTTGTGGGGGGCTGACCCCAGCCCCCAGCAGAGTACCCACAGAGCAGGGTGCTTAAGAAGAAGAACACTGTAGGATGTCAACAGAACACTTTTAAATAGTATCTGTTTAAAAAAAGAAAACTGAGTGGAAGACAGTTATTGTATTAACTCTTAGTGTTTGTTTCCCTGGAGGGAGGTGAGGCAGTTCCTGACAGCTGTCATTAGTCACATTTGTTGTGTAATTAGAGTTGAGATTCGTGACTGTTGTTCTCATGTCTCCAATTTCTTGTGCAGGTGCAGTCACACGAAAGGTGCAGCTGCTCTGCTACTGTGTTTTAACAGAGATGGACACAAATGAGGAAAAGAAGTTAGAAAGGAAATCCAACTAAAATTTAAAGCCATTACGAGAAGCAGGAGGGAGGATACAGCGGTTAAAACAACTATAAAGGGAAGAGGTAGAACTGGAAAAAATGGGAAAACTGTTTCCAGTGGTCTTTTAGAAATCCTGAAAACGTCCTTACGGTTGGGTTCCCACAGAGCTCACGCCCTCACGTCATCCTCCTGAACTGGGCCGTGTTGGCAGGGCGTGTTTTCCTGGGATGAGGAGTATCTGCCCATGTCAGGCACAGCAGCTGTGTCAGTGGTTCCCTCAGAACTGTGTTAGCATGGGAAGAGCTCCCAGATCAAATCCAATTGCTGCACAGCCAGGCAGTGAAGTAAATGCATTTTTAAGTTAGACTGAAAACCACTTTGACTCAAAAGACCAAGTCATTTCCAGCTTAATTCTGATGGATTTTTGCATGAAATGTTTTGCTGTGCTATCTCAGTTCTTACCCCAGAAGACAACTGGTTACAACTACCTACCTAATTCGTCATTGAGAAGAAAAATGAATAAAGTTGTGCTCCATTATTTAAAGACTGAACCAACTTTTCTCCCTTAGAGATAAGTATTTTATGCCATATACTACGTGGAATGTGGCATCTGACCGTGGCAAAGATTTAATCAACAAGGCACCTTGGCACTAAAAGTTTGATTAACATTTGATGATTCTTTCTTGTAAACTTGTTTTTGGTGAACTTCTGCTAGGTTTTATGAAATTTTCACAATAAAAAATATGTTCAGTTTGAAGCAGGTAAGCATTTGTTTCTGAGCTGTTGCAGTGAACACACAGTAGCCTTATGACCTCAGCAGTCAGAAAATTCCCTTTATTACTATCAGTACTGCTCATCAGAAAAAGACTACCTCACAGAAGAAACCACTTTCTTTTTTTTTTCCTCTATAGCAGAAGTTCTGTGGCAAAAACTAGATCCTGAAAGCTAAGCAACAGGGAGAGAAAGTAGAAATAAAAATGGAAGTAAAAGTACTACTGCAGCACAGGCATGCTAATGAGTAATATTTGTAATTTCATAGCTGTAAGTCTGACCTCAGGACACCTGTAATACTGAATTTTAGTGCAGCAAAAGGCAAGAAGCAGCAGCCTCTTTGGCTACAAGAGTGAGATGTACTTCAGAAACATACCTGGAATCTTTACCTTAGTTCAGAGTGTCTCCCTCAGTTGATCTGAGTTTGGCCACAGGTACTGTTTTGTGCACTTGAGCTGAACTAAATCCTGTAATCAGATTATGGCTGAAGCAATGCACACTTCCAAAGGTGCACCACATTTTCATCAGCCACTTGAATAACAGTGGGAATATTTGGATTTTTGCACTGACCCCATGACCAAGGTTATCTTAGAAAGTGCAGAGAAGGGCACATGGTGGTGGATGGTGAAGACTAACATCAAATGGAGCCCTGGGATACGTTTATGGAGCAGCATTGGGATTTAAGGGAGTTAAATTCTAGCTGAGGAAGTTATGTGCCAACTGTGCATAAAACATGTCTGGTCTTTTCACTACTAAATAAAAACTATAATTTAGCCATTTTAATCCAGCTTTTTAATCTTGTAAATGGTTGGAATAGATTCAGTACCCAAACTGAGCCATCTGTCCAGTGAACAAGCAGAGCTTCAACAGGCACGGGTCGTGGCAAAGGTAACAAAGGTTATCTGGGGCCAGATAACCTTGCTCTGAAACCAACAATGAAAAAATTTTGCCTCCACTACTTTGACTTTACCAGTCAGAACTAACTGGCCTAAAGCCAGTGCTGCAGCCTAAAGCTCTTGCATGACATTGATCTCACATCCTATCAGCCATTCTTTACAGACTCCAGGAGGATAGTGCTGAAACACTTGGTGTGTTCAAACACAGAGGATTAAATGGTTTTAAAGGTGTATAAATGCAAGTTAAGATGGTGTGGCTTCTGCTGTACCAACTTCTTATGATCTTTTAGTACAGAAAACTTAGTCAAAACATTTTTATTTACAATTTAAGCATGCACTGTTCTACTCCAACAGTAAAACTACTGGGAGAGCAATGGACAGGTCAGGGCATTTCATATGCTCCAACACTTGTAAAGAAAGTCACTTACACTTAGAAACAAATACAGTAGAGAGCACTAGGACAGTGCCTTTCTCAAGGACTTCACTTGCCATCAGGGCAGACACACACTTCTCGTGAAACCTGGCACATCAGCCATGACCAGAAGGGCTGCTGCCAACAGCACCTCCATGTATGACGTGGAGGTCATACATGTATGACATGGAGGTATGGGCACTACAGGAACAAACGCTTGGGCAGGGAGCTTTGGGGAAAAAAAAAGTTCCTTCAGAACCTCTGTACAACACTTGTGCTTCGAACAAAAATCTGTGTTGTCAAGTGGCCACAGACACCCATCTGTTTGAGATCTGCCAGCTGCAGCTGGCTGTTCCCATGCTGCATTCTCCTACCACAGCAGAGTTTCACCTTCAGCACACGTTTCATCTTCAAAAAAGAACTTTCAGTCAGAACCCAAATCTTCCATCTCGTCGTATCCGAACTCCTGTAGAACCTCCTGTCGGTATTTGTCCCACGTTCTTCTCCTGTAATATTGCTCCTCATCACTGGAGCTCTCTTCAGGCTCTACAAAAAGAGCATCAACACTTATAGATTATCCCTTCTTTTTAGTTAAATAAGTTAATCAGACTATTTTAAGCTACTTGTGGAACTAACAAAGTCTGAACAACTTCTGTATTAGGTGAGGTTTGAACTGTGCTTGGAGTACTCTGGGATGGGGACTTGAGAAGGCAGAGGCAGCATTTCACAACCATGTGGACCCAAGTCATCAACTCCTTCTCAAAGCAAGCAATCCTTTGCAATTTTGCAGCAGTCTGAAAATGACTTAATTTTGACTTTGCAAAAACACTCTTCTAGTTCCAAGAAAGATAATCTTCCTCTAAGCAGATTTTACCCATTTTAAGAACACTACCCCAGCAGTGCTCAGTTAAGTTGCTTTTTTAGCATGTAAAAAGAAGAGGATTTATGTGCACAGCATGAAAGCAAACAGCATTTATTATAGGTGTACCTTTTTCTCCATCTTCCTCGGGTAAGAATTCATCTTCTTCGGGATAATCATTCCGCCAGTTATTTTCATCATTTTCATCATCTTCATCTTCATACACTTCCTCTGGAACAGGATCATCATTTACCTGCATATCAACACAAAACATAATGCTGGGAGTCTGTATTTGTAGTGAATGTTAAGTGGGTTTTCATCCACCTGTGCAATACTATACAGATCAGAAAGAGCCAAGAGACACTCACTGATGGCACAAGGAATTCTGCAGTTACAAAAAGGACACTGCAGAAAAATTGGACCTGTCACTGTGTTCACCATAACACTTCAAATCTGCTTTAGGTGAGAAATGAGTTGAGTTACATATTTACATGTTCCACTTCAGCATTTAAATGTTAATGTCTAACTTAATCCCACTCACTTCAGCAGTAGTGTTATAGATCAAGGAAAAGAAAAAGTAGCTTCAGGTTTCCAATATGTAAGTCTATTGATCACAGTATCTATAGAACAAAAGACTGAAGCTTACATTAAACTTCCTAACTCCACAGTCACTGAAGGACAATTCTACTAGGAAAAAGTATCTCATATCAAGGTTAAAGTCCAGTCTTCAGATACTGAAAAAGTTGTGTGTCTCCTTGCTCCTCTTTCCGCTCAGATGTATTAACAATATTTTAATATTTTTACTTTGTTAATATTTAATATTTTAATTACTGCCTCCTAATCACAAGTGAGACGTGAATTACTCAAGTTTACATTTGTGTGCCAAAATGTAATTGGCAGTTTGAAACCAGACGGATTTTTCTGAGTACATGAGCACCATCCCTTCAGTTTCCATTGTCATATCATCATTTAATGAATGAACAGTAACCTGCAGGAACACAGCACACCAGAGGCCTAAGGCAGAAGTCACTGAGCACATGTGTAGTGTCTATCTCAAAGGACCTTTCTTGGCATGGCAATTTTTAATGATAGGACTTAAAGCATGTTTATTTGTGACCTTTCAATTTAAGAAAGATCCTTTTTTCCACACCCTTACCCATTCATATTCTTCTCTGTAGGGCTGTACAGAAAGGATATTTTCAATCCAACCAGGGGCTGATGTTTCCTTATAGTAGATGTCATAAACATACTCATCTTCCTTCTCACAGTGCTTTTTAGCATCTTCAGAAACATTTAAACGCTCACGGATCATCTCTACTGCATTGCAAAGAATCACATCTGGATCGATCTTCTGCTAAGAAAAAATAAAAAAATGCTTATTTCCACTCAAGTCATGCAGACAAAGTCTTGGTTACAGCCACCAGTTTTCTTTGCAGCTAACTAAGGATGACGTCCTGCAATCTGAGACCAAAACACTTTCCCACAGCAGGATCACAGTATTCAAGAACACTGAGCTGATTTGCTGACCTGGGGGTTGGCAGAGGTTACGCTGCAGTCTCCCACCATCTCCTCTTCTTGGACAATATCAAACAACTGGAATTTCCCACAGCAGTCCGAACTCTTATCAGCAGCACCGCTCTCCTCCTGTGAAGCATCTTCCTGTGCTCCAGAGCCTGCCCCGTGCCCATCAGTGTCAGCCCCAGCCCCTGTGGCAGGCACGGCTGTCTCAGCACAGGCGGGTCGGTGGCTGGCTATGACACGGTACCGGTTCTCCTTCCTCTTCTCCTGCCTGGAGGAGCGGAGCTCCTGGAGGATCCGCTGAGTGCTTCCCACAGGGGGCTGGAGCTCCTGGAGAATCCGCTGAGTGCTTCCCACAGGGGGCTGGAGCTCCTGGAGGATCCGCTGAGTGCTTCCCACAGGGGGCCGCAGGCTCTGAGCTGCTCTGTCCCGTGTGATGGCATCCTTAACGTACTTCTGAACTGGTTCATTCTGAGTAGAGGAACAAAAAGGAGGAGGAATATAATGACACCATCCTACCCCTTCCTAGAAGGAATTAATGACTACTAGTAGTAGTGCAATAAGAACTGCAGCTCTAATATTCCTAACATCAAATTAACTTCTACTATTGCTTTAAGCAACGCAACAATCAATATTCTCTTGATATCAGGAGAAAAAAGCAGAAGATATAGAAGGAAAGTTCTAAGACTGTTTCAATTTGATTTTTAAACTACTTTGTTGTATGGAATAACCGTCCAAACAAATGCCTTTGGAAGACCGCGATGGACCTGAATTTAAGGCAAAATATCCTTTACGATGTCCTATAAAGATCATTTCCCACGACATCCCAGTTTGATTCAATATAAAAGGCCGGATAGCGGATGGTAGTTGTTATCCTTGGAGGGCTGAGCTTCAGCACCTCAAACAGCAGACACTCGGGCTTCACTTGCTGACTGTTCCGCGGTCTCTGAGTGAGGAACAGCCTGTAAGTGCGAGAAGCTGAACAGGCTGTGCAGTGCCCGTCACTCTGTCCTGCCCGGCGCAGGGGCTGCCCCTTCGCGTCCCGGCACCTAGCCACGCCGCCGCTGCTCTCGGCGGGCCGCGACCCACAGGGATACCCGGAACCCGCAGGGAGCCAGCACCAGGCCAGCGAGAGGCCTCCGGGAGCCCGGCTGGCCGACCGGGCCGGCCCGCGGCGCGCTACATTGGCGAGGACGACGTCTGCCACCAGCTGAAGAGGCTCCGCTTCCGGACGGCTCCTCGCGCCGCCGCTTGCAGAGCGAGGAGGCAGCGCCTCGCCGGCTCGGGGCCGCGCCCGTTCCGGCCCACCCGCAGCACGGCCGCGGAAGACATTGGCCGCAACGAGGGGAGGAAGGGAAGGGGCGGATCCGGCAGTGGAAGGGGAGGGGAGGCCGGGCGGGGTCTGGGCCGCCGGCGGTTCGCGCGAGGCGCGGCGGCGGCTGCGGCAGGCGCCAGTAGCGGTGGGTACCGGCCGGGTACCGGCCGCGGTACCGTGAGGGGGCTCGGCCCGGGGCTGCCGTGAGGGGCTCGGGCCCGGGCTGCCGTTGAGGGAGCCACAGCCGGGGGCTGCCGTAGGGGGCTCGGGCCCGGGGCTGCCGTGAGGGGCACAGCCCGGCGGGCTCCTGTGAGGGAGGCTGCCGCGGAAACAGCGGGATGAGCGCCTTGTCCCCCCGGCCGCAAGCCCCGCGGGCGGGAGGTCCGGCCTGCCTGGCCCCGGGCGCTGTGCGGCTCTCGGCGGGCCGCCGCTGGGCCCTCCCCCGGCACGGGCTGTGCGGGCACCCCGGGACAGGGCGGGAGGAGTTTTCCCTGAGGATTTACCGTGAGGGGATTTCTTTTTAAAACGTCGTTGTAGAAAAAGCGTAAAGCGGTCACTTGGCTTCTGGGCAAGGCAGGTGTAACAGGTACCCAGAGCTCAAGTGATGGCTGAAGTTACAGTTGTTTTCACTGGGAGTTTTGTGTTTGGTTTGTGGTTTTTTCACAGCCAGAGTCTGGTGTATTACACTGAAGTGAAAGCAGCAAAACTGCACATAATACATCAATAATATAGTACAAGTTGAGACTGGTCATGAAGACCTTTTGTGGAAGAGCTAATCCAACCACTGGTGCCATGGAGTGGTTAGAGGAGGCTGAGGACTATGACTACCACCAGGAGATTGCCAGGTATGATGGAAAAAGGTACTTGTTCCCCTAAAGCCACCAAAAAAGAGCAAACTCAGCTTGTTTTCATGTCAGTTTTGGGGTTTATCTTTGTAGAATTCCTAAGGGCATGAGTTGATCGGACTGTAGGATAACCTAAATGTTAGTGAACGTGCCTGGTGTTGTACAGGGCAGAACTGTCAGTGTAAAATTTTGTGAACTATTCTCCAAATAAATTCCTTCTAAACTTTTTAAAATGTTTTCTGAGGTGCTGATCCTGATACTGACAATGACTGAGTTGTGGCAAAATGCATTGACTAAATTTCTTTTAAATCCCAGTGCAATAAATAGTTGCCAGTTGTCCGTTACTGTACTAACTTTTTAAGAGCTTAATGTAACAGCCAGGGTCGGTGGGAAGATTAGATTTTGGGGTATTTTTAAATAGTGCAACCCGTGAAGAAATGGGGACCAAAGAAATTTAAATCTCTGTATTGGTCTGTATGACTCTGCCGCTGTCCCAGCTGTTACTTCACAGTTTGTCCATAGGTCTATGTCTTGGGTCATTGCTGAGGGGAGGATATGTGCCAGCAATTAATTAATTCATTTATATGTCGATGGCCAGATCATTGAAATGACATTATTCCTCAGATTTGGTGAACAGTTCAGATGCTCAAAGAGCCCGTCAGCTGTTTGTGCATTTATGGGCCATGGGGACCAGTTGCCTTAGTAAGAGGAAACAAGGGAGGCTCTCTGAGATCCTGCAGTTTGTGCTTTACAATATGGAATATTTTGACTGGAATTTTGTTGTTGTAGGTCACGCTATGCAGATATGCTTCACGATAAAGACAGAGTAAGTACAGAGGCCAAACCCTTCTGAATGGTAAGAAAATGGCCATTTCCTTTCTCTTGTAGCCCCATTTAATGGTATGTAACCAAAACCCACTATTTACACATGTTGCTTCTCATGTATGAACACATTTCAGCAGATGAAGAGAGGAATCTAAATCCAAGACACTGTAGCTCCTGTACTGTCAGAGTCAGTTTATGATTATTTGAATGCTGCTGCAGGGGAAAATTTTTTTATTATTTGCTCCAGAAAATGTATCACATTTGGAAATTATGCATGTGGTCTGAATAGCTGACTGATCAATGACAGTGTGAACTTGGTGATAGAAGTTGATGTGCTTTGAATGGACTGATCCCACCGGATACACTTGCTTTTGCTGAAGATGGCTTTGGTGTGACTGTAAGGCATAAAGAATGTCTCCAGGCCTTTTTCTGCTTATAAAGTTGTGGTTGGAGAATTCAAGACTTCTGCACAAAAATGGAAAGTGTAAATGGATTAAAGGTTTTTCTTCTCCCCAGAATGTGAAGTACTACCAAGGTATCCGCGCTGCAGTGAGCAGGGTGAAGGAGAGAGGTGACAAAGCAATAGTTCTGGACATAGGCACTGGCACAGGACTCCTGGCCATGATGGCAGCTTCAGCTGGGGCAGATTTCTGCTATGCAGTCGAGGTGAGCATCTGGTAGGGGCTGCACATGTGCTGCATGTGTGTTCAGAGCTGCCTTTTCAGGCTTCAGTGCAGTTCTGGCTGCACAATCAGTGGACTGCATGCATTTGTTATTTTCTGTGGTGGCTTCTGAAGAGCAAACTCAAGCCTTTCATGTGTCAAAACCACCTAGGTCTTACAAGAACATAGTTGAAAAGGTATAGTATATTTTTCATTTTTAGGACAGTTTCTGTAAATGTACAGATTGACATTTCTGAGTCAAGTTTTCTGGTATTTCATTGTCTCTACTTTTTATCAAAAATCAAGTGTAATATAGAGCTTTAACCATGTTTTTGAAAAATGTCAGTATTTTCTAACCATATTGCTGATCTTTAGAAGTTTTAACTCTTGGAGATGGATTCTCAGACCACTTAATCATAACATGAACCACGTTGTAACAAGGAGGCCATTTCATGAACGGACTTTTCCGTCTCTCTGGGATGAGATAGAACATCTCCTTTTTTATTGGCACTTAAGAAACATCCTGATGGTCATTAACAGCCATTACTCATATTAAGGATAACGACAGGAACATTTTGGCCAGTTTAGGTTTTTTTTGATGCATTTGAGGAAACAAAGAGAAGATCTGCTTGTCTATAGGGTCTAGTTGAAAGAGTACTGTGGGATTTCTACCCAAGTAGACATCTGTATTGTTTTTTTAATTTAGAATTTTATCTGATGATCATTTTTCAGGACAGTCTTCTTTCATGTAGACACAGGAAGCCATCAGAGAGGTTTGTGCTGATTTCCAGAGTGGCCACAAGTGTCTTATCTTAGGTAGTCAAGTCTTGTGACTGGATGGAACACTGAAAATTCTTGAGTTTAAAAACTGGATATGAACGTTAAACCCTTTCAACATATTCTTGGTCATTTTGTTATTTTTGCTGTGAAGGAAACAAAAATTCTTTTCACATTTATACTGTTAATAAAAGCAGATTTTTGACATACTTCAGTGACTGTTTCAGTGCTGATTGTTTTGAGTTCATTTATTTATTTAGATATTATCTTGGGCACATGTAAGTCTCTTGTGGTTCTCTTGATGGATATACGTATTTTTCCAAAGAAATAAATAAGTTTGCTTAATGTGAATGCTAACATACTCTTGATGTGTGTTCTTGTCTCTCGAAAGTTCAGTTGGAACAGCTTTGGGAGACAGCTGATACTCAGTTGGTAACAGTGACACTGGAGCTCTATGAATTTTTCAAGCAAGGCTCTGTCTTGTTTCATGGACTTCAGACATGGGAGAAGATACAGAAGTTGTTCATTTGTTTCAGAACTAAATATGTTGCATTTTGTGCTGGTGTCCTTCCACTTTGGAAAGCTGATGTGAGCTACTATTTTGCTACACTCTTGCCATTCACAGGTTTTCAGGCCCATGGCTAACGCTGCTGTGAAGATAGTGGAGAAAAATGGTTTTTCTGACAAGATCAAGGTAATCAACAAGCACTCCACTGAAGTCACAGTTGGCCCAGGTGAGAAAAATAGGCTAGGCTTAAAAAAATTGGCAAGTGGCTGAACACCATGAAGGAGGATGTCTTATTCTCCATGTGTCTGCAATCAAAACTCAGGCAGGGTCTGCAGCACAGGTGTTTTGAGGAGTGGCTGAGGGGCCTGGGGCTGTTGTTCAGCCTGGAGCAAAGGAGGCAGAGGGGACACCTCATGGCTCTGCAGCTGTCTGAGAGGAGGCTGTAATCAGGGGCTGAGCTCTTCTCCCACATAACAAGTGACAGGACAAGGGGATGTGACCTCAGGTTGTGCCAGGGCATGTTTAGATTGGATAGTAGGAAAAAATGTTTTATGGAAAGGGTTTTAAAGCATGGAGCAGAGTGTCCAGGGAAGGGCTGGAGTCACCATCCCTGGAAGTGTTTGAACAACGTGGATGTGGCACTTGGGGACAGGCTGGAATTGTGAACCTGGTGGCGGTGCTGGGTTGATGGTTGGACTTGATGGTCTTTTCCAACCTCAACTGTTCTGTTACTCTAGAAAGTAATATTAGAAATTTACTTAAAAAAGGAAGTGTTCTAGTGATATTTCAGTAGTCATTTGTATTTCATAGTAGACTTCTAAAGGAAAATAATTTGCAATCTTCAGCAGATTCTTTAACAGGAATAAGTTTTTTAATTACTTGTGTTCTTAGGATAGCATTTTCTTGAAAGACTTGTATAAAGGCTCAACATTACAATATTAATTTGTATCTTTTAGATGGAGATATGGAATGTCGTGCAAACATCCTGGTCACAGAATTGTTTGATACAGAGCTGATAGGAGAAGGAGCTTTACCAACATATGAGCACGCACACAAATACCTTGTACAGGTAAGAAAATAGAAAAGGATGGTGTGTCACATCTATCTCTAGAGAAATCCTTCTGTCTTTTTTTTGGACTAAGATAGAGATTATACTTAGGCTTCTGCATCCCTTGGTAAATACACCATCAGCTGTGTGTTTCTTATTCAATGAATAATTTACTAGGCTCATTCCTGGAATAAAGCTACTTGAGTTCGTATTGTAAATCACAGGCTCTGAAATCACACCTAGATGCTTTGTGTTGAAACCAACAACTTGCTGGTTAACAGATGTCTTTTGGTTATGATTTGAAGCTCTCCTTAATAACAACCTTGTTCCAAGCTGTTTTAAAAAAATTAAATCCTTGTAAATTTGATGGGCTTCACCTTCTGGGCATTGCTTTGGTTTTGGTAGGTTTTGTCATGCTCTTACTACTCCGTATGCTTTTTGCCTGTGGAAAAATTTTAAATAGTGTTATCTAGTATCCTTCATGGACATATAATCTATAGGTATAAGTTTAGGGCTTCCTCTTTTACCTTTTCTAATACTATCCTTTAATAAAATGTGGATGGCAAAACTTTATTTAGGTTTCTAATTTTAGTTTCACCTTTCTGATGTTACAGAAGTCTCCAAAATAACTTGTGTTTAAGATTTCAAAGCTCCCAGTCCACCTTTTCTTTAAATGGTTTTGCATTTCAATTGGTTTAATTCTCATTCATGTTAATAAGTCTAACCCATTGAGTGTATTTACCCTTTGTTTTGAACACTCAGGAAGGATGTGAGGCAGTGCCTCACAGGGCAACAGTGTATGTCCAGTTGGTGGAATCCAAAAGAATGTGGGCCTGGAACAAACTGTTTCCCATTCATGTCGAAGCAGAGGATGGTGAAAAAATTATTGTTCCCCCTTCAGAAATGGAGAACTGTCCAGGTGTTCCTTCTGTTTGTGATATCCAACTGAACCAGGTGCCCTCAAGTGACTTCACTGCCCTTAGTGATGTGGTGACAATGTTCAGGTAAGGGAGACATTGTTTTGGTCAAGACAAACTTGTCCTGTTATGCCTTTTCTAGAAGTTGTGTGTTCAGCCTAGGAAGCTGG